CAGCCGGGGTGGATGGAAAGCACGTAGAAAGACTGAGAAGTGCTGGCGAGAGAGCAAGAGCTCGAACGAGGGAGCAGACGAGTGCGAGAGACCTTGGAGGTCTCTCCAAGCTCGGGGCGGCGCAGAGAAACTCGAGGAGACGACAGCGCCCACAACGTGATGACGTCAGGCGTCGGACGTCCACTGGACGTCGTGATTGGCTCCTCGCAGACGCCCGTCTCTCTGCTCAAACGCAGTCGTCTCCGCTCTCTCTTCCTCAGCCTGCATCGACACCGCCCACCCTGGTCCTACATATCTCGGGAACTCTCGCCTGTGTCTCTAATCTGCGCATGAATTAGGTCGCTGGTTCTTCCTCTGCTCTCAGCTGTCTCTCGCTCTCTGCACATCTGCCGCTGCTGGGAGCGCTGCGCCCTCTCGCTCGATATCCGAAGTAAGTCTTCTCCCCTCTATCCATTCTCCGGTGTCGGTGTTGCTTCGAGGAGGCTCTTAGTGCGCTCCTATCCGCAGGTCATACTCGCGCGACTCTGAATGCGATGGGTGAGGACTTACCGAGCCATCACAGGCTTTCTGCGCACAAACGACCGGCTGTACGCCGTTAATACTTGCCATAGAACTCGCCGTCTACCATCTAAAGTCATCCAGGGGTGTGTGAGGCATTGATGAGCGGGCAAACAAGGTGAGCAGAAGACCTGTGGAAAGGGTAGAAGCCGGTGCTGGACGATCTATGTCCGGGTTGCGGGCTTATATCCCCTGCGCAGGACAAAAGGCATCGCCCACGGGTCACCGGAATAGACACCCAGAGCCCAAGCTCGCACATAAGAGCAACAAATCGACGGCGTACATGCGCCGCAACGCGCTCTCAAATACCTCCCCAACTACGCCCCCTTCGCTTCATAACCACGACGGGATCTCTGCATTTTAGAACCAGCCTAGAACTCTGCTTCTCCACTGCCGCTCTACTCGCACCCTGCTTTCGCCTCTAATCTGCCGGTCACAGGACGCTGGCTCGCACTCAGACTAGCTACCTGCCCGCCACACCTGCGCTCAGACGAGCACGGAGATGATGGAGGGCGAGAGCCTAGCTCCACGCATCGAAGGTACGTCCTTTTGCACATCGCTGGAGCCAAATGCGAAACATACGCGGATGGCAGCGACGCACACTCTGCGGCGACTCACGCAGAGACTGCGCGAGTCACACACGCTAGATACTCAAGCACACGGGCGATATATCACTTCGCACCCGCTCCCCGGTACGGTGGTCTTACGGCGCGCTCGACCAGCGGGATGCCTAGCTAGGTATGCCCTCATTTGCCACTGGATCTGTATGCGATCTCTGTGGAGGACGCCGCGGAGACATCTTAGGCAGACGGTGTCCCGTCTGGGGGGAGCGTCCGGGAGCACGCGAGTCTCCTCCATCGCTGTCGGCGGTCCGCGGTCCGCACAACTAGAACACACCCGCATCGATTGGGTCGAGATTTAAGGAAGACGGGCTCGCTGGAGCGCGGGATATCACGACTGCGAAAAAGGCTTTGGTTTCCAGGTGCCCCGTACGCGCACGCGGTCTCGCTAAATTTACTGCTGGTCATGCATATATGAACGCTGCCCGACGTCCGCGTACGTAGGCTACCGCCCCGTGCGTCTTTGCGTTCGGTGCATGTGTGCTCGCAGGCGTCAGGGTAGCCGCGTCATCGAACGGCACCAGCTGCAGGCATACGCCCTCCGTCGCCTCCCCAGACATCTCCGTTCGTAACGAAGGGCCTGCGGCGGAACGCAGATACCACGGCGGATCCGTGCGTGCCCATACTCACGACCATAAATACACGCATGCTGATGCGCCCTCGGGTCTGCAGACTGGTAGTGGCGCGATCGGCGCGATCAACGAGCACCTGCGCGTCCTGTAGGTCCCGGTCGTAACGGGCACAGTGCAAGGCCACCTCTTCGCGCACGCCGCTGGGTGAGGACCCAAGATGTTTCCTACACATGTTGTAGGAAACATGTGAGCACCGTGACGCATCGCGCCGAACACGCATCTCCGCGCGTCTCGGAACGGGGCCAGCATGGTCGCGCAGGCCACCACCACACTTCGCGAAGACCACAGGTGCGCTAGGAGCACCCCTTGAGCAACGACACCGGCCCATGGGCTTCGTCCCTAAGGGAGGTAAGTGCAGACTCGTGAAGGTGTCTATGATCACTGTCGCTAACGCACTCGTGCCATCGCCGAAGGAATGGTCGGTCGCGAGCACATCCCCACGCATGCCATGCTCCGAAGCACGACACATGCGCAGCGGCACCTGCCGCGCCTCGTAGGTAGTTTCTCAACTCCAAAAACGTGACCTGGTCTCCTTGCGTGGTGTTGCTAACCTCGCCCTCGACCATTCGGCGACCGCGAGGCTGCAGGTTTATGAGTACTTTGTCTTTGGCCCGGGTCCTGTGCAGGTTCTCCGGATGCGCCCTCTGTATTGCACGCTCATGACCGTGTATTATGTACCTGTTCAGCCCGTGACCAAAATACTGCATCTCCTGAGTCCCCGCGCCATTCACAATATGGACACACAGTATGGACAGCCCTGCGAGTCTCGTGCGGTCTGTGTTTCTAAGCATTCCGCACCGAGTACTATGCATTTATGCGTACGAACCGCAAGTGACTACGGGACCCCGTCGTCCATCAGGTAGGTAGGGAAAAGGAGTATGTGTACACTGGAAACGCGCTATCGAGATGGGTACAGACTGAGAGAAATATAGTGTGAAGCAGTCGAGGGTAGTGTTGAGTAAGCAAGGATACAAGTAGTCGAGGACAGCGTGTATCGAAGCAACGAAGTCAAAGTGGAAAACGATGAGTGAGTAATGGGGATAATCACTTCGCCACCGGTAAGGTATACGGTTTCAAGGCACCACCACCCACCGTACGATATTTAAACCGCAGAACATTGCGCATCCCAGGCAAGACGGACCAGATGTACCTTGCACACTTCTCCGTGTCCTTGCAGAAATTGAGGTGGATTGTAAGCTCCGCCAGCCCAGACAAAAGCTCTGGAAGCCTCTGCTCGGAACCAACCACCTTCTCGCTCGTGCCGACGTCAAGCTCGCAGCAGAAGTTGTTTTCCATGCCGTGCAGGCTGTCCAGGACAATCATCTTTAGTCTCCCGGGGATTGGGCGACCGACGGCTATGATGTGGAGCGAAGTCACTTCCGGACTTTTGTCATCAAAGTTGGAGAAGCGGGTGACTGTGATTGAGCGCAGAGCGGGAAATGACTCCCTCAACAGGCTGCGGAGTGTCTCTAAAGATTTCAAGTGTGAGCCATGTGTCGCAACTGGACTGCGTTCCGCATACCGTGAGCACGGATCCCAAACCTCTCCAAGTACAGCTCCGTAACGGCACACCCAAACACGCGGCCTACACCACTTAGTCCGGCACTAGCGGGGCCCCAGATTGGCTGTATAAACAGTAGGTCATGAACGGTCTCAAAATGAACGGCGGAACATGTGAACTTGCCTGTAGGCTGTATATGCCTAGATAGAGCCTTGTAAGCTTCTGGCATGCTCGTAAATGCTCCACAGCGGCCGACATCTGCCGGAGCGCCGCGGCGGAAGAGGGCTGCACGTTCAACTTGGCGGCACTTATGTTTAGCATAGTGAGGTTGGGGCAGGCCCACACAACGTCCATCATCGCCCTGAAAGACTGGAAGGTACAGCTCCACAGTAGCAGGGTGGTTATGCTGGCGAAGAATGGAAGACGCATGCGGAGCAGTCGGAAAGGGGGTCCGCGGTCAAAGCGGACATCGATACACCGGAAGTGCTGCAAACGGAGGCAAGGGCGCATGAAGAGCTCGCTTGCCTTGCTGGCATCAAGCACTTCTTCGCCCCCTAGCGTGAGTGCGGTAATGGGGGATTCTTGGACGGTCATGGTGAAATGGGCGAGGAATGCATCATTTGGGATATGCGGGAAGGTTGAGAGGCGGTACTGCGCCCGCACGCGCCACGCACGACAGGTAATAGCGCACGCGCACAGCGCGCGTTGCCCGTCTACGGGCTCCCGATAGCCTAGCGCACTCGAAGAACCGAGCGGGGGACCAAAATCGTAGCAGTCTGTGAGTGCGTCCATGACGGCCTCGCAGAGCTCGATTGGCAAGCGACAGGACTCCATGGGGGACGAGATGACGATCGGCTGTTGCCTGTCTTCCGGAATAGTCCTTGTACCTGCAGGATGTTTGATGAGCTTGCGGAAATTTGGGATAGATTGTGATGAGAAGAATGGACGTACGGGAAATGCACTGACCCAGGTGTAGGGCGTAGTTTGGAGCGTATAGATGTGTGAAATGTGAGGGCGAGGTACGGGGAGCAGTTCGAGTAGCGGAAGCCTCAGAGCGAGGTAGAGGAGCAGGAGTACGACAGGGACCCGTGTGTATCTCGTCCAATCCTTTTCCCTCAGTCTCCCCTCTGCTCATTCGGACCTTATACGTGGCAACATTACCGGTCGCCGCCGCTTGAAGTTTTGAAGATGTCTGAAATACATCCGCTCTTCTCGTGTAATAGGGTTCTGTTCATCTCCGGGACCTGACCACTGCCTCGCAGTGTGCAAGCTTGATCGATCTCTCAAGTTGGCGCCGCCATGCCGATGCTTCCACCGCGTTAATTAGCTTCAGACGCATTGCCTTATACATGCACTTGCAGCGTCACTTTATCCATCCAGTCAGATTCTTGTTCCAGCGTGGTCCATGTGCTGCGAGGACCGCCTCTCGTCGCCCGCCGCGAACAGCACTCGATACCACACTAATTTTCATTGCAAGAGTGTTCGCAGCCGCTACCCATATGTATATGGACGCGGGACAGTTCCCCATAAAGTTCACGAAGCGCCCCCGGCCACCGAGCCGCGGAGTCGACACTCTAGATAAGCGATATCGGAGTGAACGCAACCGTGCAGCAGCCCACACACGAACCGCAGGTCTGCGCGTCTGATGTATCAGCGCGCCGATCGCCGGAGGACATGGACGGGGGAGACGTACATTGTCGAGGTCTACGTTGTGCCCGTAGAGTTGCGGGTCGTATTCTTCGTCGAGCCGCATCCGCCAGAAGCGGTAGTGTTCGCGCAGATCTGCGGCGTGCAGCTCGTCCTGGAGCCAATCCAAGACCTGCAGGAGTGCAGCACGGGAGGTCATAGTTGTGATAACGTCGTAATCCATGGAACTACGAGTGTTCTTCAGCAGTTTCTGCACATACGATGCGCCCGGCATGACCAGTGAATATCGCGACAACAATAAGTCTTCGGCTCGAACTCGGTCGATTCGTGGTGCATCGCATCACGCCGGTAATGAGTGTTCTGGTAGGAACACCCCGCCAGGATAGGCTTACCGTACAGAACGAGCCGGCCCTCGCCGTCCGTGTTGTCGATCTGGATTGGCTCATGATTCATGACATACACAATGTAAGTCTCGTGTCGAGTGCCGGCGCCGTGTATACGGTTGACATGTCTCCGGGATGGTCCGCCACAGGATGCGACATGTTCTCCGTGCCCGGGGTGAGCATAAATAGGTTTATACTGATAGCACAGACATGAGCGGGTGGACAGCCGGAGAAAGGAGCGCGTGTATACGGCGCTTGAAGCTACGCAATTGCCAGCGCGGACGCGCATACGGTAGCAGCACCGCCCGAATCCTCGTGCATTCGGGACATGCCCTGTTCGATGTGGTAGCACTCAGTGTGAGCTGAGCGTGGACGATACACATCGGACTCACGGATGATCACCGCCGGAGATTTCTTCCGAGTCGAACGTGATGCCCTTGCCGACGAGGACCGGCGGCGCGGCGTCGGCTGCACCTTGTACATAGCTGAATGAGGATCAGCGCTACGAGCGACTCAGAGTCGTCGTTGATTATTCACATTCCAGAGAACTTGGCCGGTTCCGGAGCGCCCTCGGTGACTGCAAGAAACGTTGTTTTGTTAGAAATAATAGCAACGGTGTAAGGATACAGAACACTTCCGATACTCACCATATCATTCTCCGCGGTGTACGCTACGAGGCTCGATGTTGAGCTCATACGCACTCGCAGCCAACACGCTCGACCCAATTATGTCGTCGACAATGACTTCCGAGTCGATGCAAGAAACGATGGCAAATTCGGCCTTGATGCGCATCCTCATTAGCTGAGCTGTTCATGTTGAGTATCCACTCAACGCAGCCCATCGCGCGATATGCGCAGCGCCTACGGTCGTGTTCATATTCATGTGATTTTTCGCGGTGAGAAGGAGCGCGAAGATGGTCTTCTACTCGCGCTGAGCAAACGCGCGGCGCACGACGCTACGCACGTTAGGCATATTTGCGGGGCGTATACAGCGCAATCAGGCCTGAGCAACAGCACAGGTCCTGCTCGCGCGAACACCGTTCCAGGAAATTGCCTCCATTCTGGGCGGGCAACACGAAATCATCGGACTCACCGTCGGCATGGGCTATTGGAGGTCCACAAGCGGTCAGACGTTTTTTTGCACTTCAGCGTGGAAGATTAAAGCCTCGCATGCTTGCCTCAGTGATCGGGGATCCGGCGACCGAGAAACGTCGGGACGAGACTGTACGGGGCGAGAATAGTAGCGGCGGTTGAAGCGGGCTCAAGGGATGCTGAACGCAGTGCAACGGTAAGAAAAGATCGTATCAGCGACATGAGAATCTGCGGACGCACGCACCTATTGAGACTTTGCTCCTGGGCCTTGCAGGGCCGTCGCAGATGCTGCGAACATTCTTGAAACCGCTGGCTACGACGTTGCGCATGGCCTGGCCGTGCTCGTCACCCATCCTCTGCGCGAACCTGTTAGCGAGAGACGCGAGCCCAGTGACAGTATCCTCCGGCGTGCCAGGCTAGCGGTATTCGACTGGGAAGCAGAATCAGAACGGTTGCAGAGCGTCGTGGTATGAACGCATGCGGCGGAGGTAGCAGAGGTCGAGTTGGGGGCCAGAGGGACCACGTATAATGACGACGGAGTCCTGGTGAGATATGAGCTGGATGAGAGAGGAGACCATCCTGAGCCAGAGAGCCGTGTTGACGTCTTGGATTTAGGCCCGGCCGACTCGAAAGCAGAGCCCAGGGCGGCTTCTTGCCCTTGTGCAGTCGTGCAAGGACGCTAGGCCCGGGGGAGATGAGAGGCGGCGCAGATAGCGACCGCGACGCAATAACGTCACACGTCGGAGGTTACGATTGGCTCCTCGCTGGCGGCCGTCCTTCTGCTCGAACGTAGTCGTTTCAGCTTTCTTTCTCTCTCCTTTTCGCGCGCATCAATGTCGTCGAAACTCACTGCTGTACGTGTCTACATCGTGGGAGGTCATCGCTCAACACCGTCGGTGGACGACTGCAGAAAGATCGTAGCGCAGCACCCTAAATGCGAGCCGCTAGTCTGCACATCCGATGTATCAGCCCACAGATCGCGAGGGAATAAAGCTCTCGGGAGACGTACGTTGGCGAAGTCGGCGTTGTGCTCGTAGATCTGTGGGCCATCCCATCAGGCGGTATCCGCCAGAAGCGACCGTGCTCGCACAGATCAGACGTGTGTATCTTGTCAGAGATCTGTAGAAGGCAGTCAGACCGCTTTATTGTACCATGCGCGGTTGGGAGATATACGGTAGACGCGCAGGAGTACATGTCGCCTACGCCCAAGCGCATGGAGCTGCGCGCGTGCATCAGCGAACACATCATCTGTGCATATGATGCAGCGCTTACACGGTGTGTGTCACATAGATGAGCGGCTTCAGCCAAATCGGCCTACCCGTGGTATGTCGCATCTGTACGGCCATGATTTAGATAACGGTAAGAGGAGCCGGAGGCGGGGAAGATATATCGAGGGAACCGAGACTCTGGTCCCGCAAAAATTCTTCTGAGAGAGCGGAGAGTACTGAGGCTTCTCATACGCAGGGGGCGTAAGGCGAGGGTCAAAAGGATACGTAGGCTTCGTCTTCAGAGTGAAGCTGTATGCGGTGCACTTTTCAGCGATCGCTGAAACGAGGTCAAGGAATGCTAGCAAAAAATAACGTACCCATACACGTGTACCAATACTTTGCTGCCTTGCACACTCTTGCAGATTGTGAATCTGCTTGAAACTGCTCCTGTTGGCCTTGCGGACAGCCTCGCGGCGCGCGCTGCCCGTCTTGTGCGCGAACTTGATACGGAGGGATGTGAGCGTGATGATCGTCTCCTTCTGCGCGCTGTAGAGCAGATGCATCTTTCCAAGGCTGCATAGCGTGGCCTCGAAGGCAGAAGGGGTCCTCCCAGAGATTCGTGGCGTCCACGGCCGTAATCGAGGCGAGAGCACGTAGAAAACCGCCGCTGGCGAATCAGGATTGTCGAGAGATCTAGAGCAGTTCGAAGACGGCCGGCTCAAGAGAGCTCCTCCGTCCAAATCGCAGAGATTTATGCGTAAACAATCGATCGAGGAGGGCGCAGGATGGAAGAGAGCCATGTCAAGTAGCTGAAACTGCCGCAGCGACCACCACGCGATGACGTCACGCGCGAGTCCTGATTGGCTCCCCACAGACGCGCGTCTCCCCGCTCGAACGCAGGCGTCTCCGCTAAGCGCTTTCTCTCTTTCTGCACTCGCTGCTACCTCGGTCTATACTCAGATTGTGTCTTCATCTTGGGAGCTCTCCCTGCGTCTCTGCTCTGTGCATATGTCTGGTCATGGTTCTTCCTCTGCTCTGTGTTACTCGCACCGTCTGCGCATCAGCCCCTTCCTGCAGAGAACATCGCCCGCAGTGCATATTTCTAGAGGAGATTCACCGAATACTATCCAAGGTAGGCCGTCTTCTCCTGTTTCGTGCTCTGATCTAGTTTGTGCTTTGATGGGATGCATCGAAGCTTGAGCTGGAGGCTGGAAGCTTGAAGTGCTGCTCGCTATGTTTCGTGATCAGCACGGTCGCTTACCGGGCCATTGCAGGCTCTCTACGCACGAACTGCCACCTATGCGTCCTCATTTATTGCGCAACCACCGCAGCAGTCCACTCAACCCCACCTTCCCCTCTCCGTCGACGGCTTCACCCATGTCCGTAGGCCAAAGGGACCGATCCACGGTCTGCGGCAACACGTTCTCGAGCGACTTCGACTACATCGTCTTCCCTTCGCGCCAATGGCAGGAGTATGTATCTAGCCCAGGACGCTGCTGTCCCGCCGCCGTTCTGCTTGTCAGAGAATGCCACTCCCGCGCACTCAGACTACCTATCCGTTCAAACGGATGGACAAGTCCAAGATTGCACATCGAAGATACGTGTTTCGTTGCATCATGACTGCTGAATGAGTGCATAGATGCGACTGGGACGGTGCGGAGACATCCAGTCCGATGACTAAGCACTTCCTGAACCAGTACAGTCTCTCGGCGCTCTCTGTACGTCGTCTAATCCTGCGCCATCGTCTCATTACCACACTCACTACCGCCTCCACGTCGATAGTCGGACCCCAGATCCGTACGGAACGACTTAGCTCATGCACCACCTTCAACACACCGTCTCCCTTCGCACGAATGCCGGGAGGTCTGCATCTGCATCTAGATCTCATCCGGGACGCTGCTGCTCCGCCGCCGCCCGGCTTGCAGGCTGATTCTGCATCTTGTCTTCTGGTCACGGTACATTCGCATGCCCTCGGGGTACTTATCCGCTGCAACCCGCAGACGAATGGACGGAAGAGATACAAGCTCCACACATTCAAGGTGCGTGTCTCGGGACATCACGAGCACTGAATATCGAATGGGCCCATGTACGCGACACGTACGGCACGGACATCGCGGACCCGGACTTAGGGCAGGTCTCTGCGGCGAATACGGACGCGTACAGGCGGAATATCGCGTCGCCCCCGCTTTCCGGTGTACCCGTTCCAGGCGGGCTCGACACGCAGGGTACCCAGCCGAGTGCGCCCTTGTCGGGCGCTGTGGGTCCATCGGTGTGTCTTGTCGCTGCTCGAGGACGTCGCGAAGACGTCCCTTGTCTTCAGACGCAGAGAGCGCACGAGCGGGGGGACCCTACGTGTCCAAAGTGCGTCCCGGAGCACGGCCAGCCCCTCCCTTCCGGCAGTCCGCGGTGCGCGTATGTACACCCTGCGCGCGCCGATTGCGTCTACATGCAGGGACAACAAGCCAGCCGGAGCACGGCTGCTAAGAGGGCTATAGAGATGTGTCCCGCGATGCGGTGTCGACCTGCAACTCTTGTTGGACGTCAACCCAGTTTGGGTTTTTTTCTCTGCGCGGGCACGTCTGATCCGGGTGTCTAGACTTTACGAGAGCTCGTCGCGGGTAGGAGCATAAGAATACCAACGTGAGTCCCGCTTTAGATCTGCACCCGAATCGTCGCCCGCCCGCCTTCAAGAGGTGCTGCATGCGCGCCAGAGCCATCCCAAGAGCAACGACGTTGCCCGATGGATCTCGGCCTCGATGGGGTGAGCATAGACGTGTACACCATCTCACACAAACTCATGGTACCGCTCCGTCGCCATCGCAGAAGGAGGGAAGAGCCTCGACGTCTGCGGGGCTCGCGCACACCTCTGCGCATGCGAAGCCCCGAAGCGCCGCACATGCGTCGCCGCGGATGAAATATTCGACATCAAGGTACGTACCTCAAAGTTCAGACATCGTGCAGGACGTGGCCAACCTGGCGTCTCGCGTTCGCGCGGACGACGCAGACCGCGGCGGTGCAAGTTACATAGACTACACAGGTGTCCTGTGCTCGCGGCCTGCGCTCCCTTTCTGTATAGTACCGTAAATGTATGCCGGTGTATATGATACATTGGTCGACGACCGAAACATCATGCCCTCCGAGTTTGGAGGCCACCCATAATATATAGACGCAATGTAAAAGACCTAGTGAGCCCGACGTCGTCTATCCGAGGCGCAGTATACGTACGTAAGTACTACATATCCTAGCGTACAACGTATAAGTCGATGTTGCTCCGAGACTATCGTACAAGAAAGGGGAGGAGTATAGTGTACTATCAGGCTGGGTACATATAAAGAGTAATCGAGGAAAAGTCGTCAATATCGAGTCTGGTAATCGAAGACGTGGCAGTGGAGGATCACAGATACTGTATACGAAGTAGGTAGTCAAGGGCGGAGCGGTATGTGTGAGCATAGAGGAAGAAAAGTCATGGTATAGACAGGATATCTTTGCAGAAGTGTGAGTCCAAGTCCTGGTCTTAGTCCGATTCCGATTCCGATTCCGAGTCCGAGTTCGAGTCCGAATCGGTGTCCTGAGCCAAAAGCCGTGGAACATCATGTTGAAGTACGGTATATGGTCTCCAGTCCTCATCAACCTCTTCACGATACTCAAACCGCAGGACATTGCGCAATCCAGGCAAGACATCCCAGATGTACGCAGCGTGCCTTGCCGGATGTCTGCACTCCTCCAGACGGAGCACGAGCTCTTCCAGCTCGGGTAAGAGCTCTAAAACACACTGTGTGGAATCGCCCACCTCCTCCCTCGTGCCCACAGCGTGCCCACAGCATTTGAGACCCTGGGCCCAGTGATCGCACTGCAGGACAATTGTCTTCAGAACGCCGGGTATTGGACGACCTGTGGCTATGATATGGAGCCAACTTGGGAGTCCCGGGTTCTCATCCAACCCGCTGAACCAGACCGTGACAGAGCGGAGAGCAGGAAACGAATCCTTGAAGAGAATGATGAACGCATCTAGGTTATGTAGATAGTGAGCTATGTGACGTAGCTGGGCGGAATTCCACGTACCGGGACGATGAGCACTTATGAAGATCAGCTCCGTAACGGCATACCCAAACACGCGGCCTATGCCACTTAGTCCAATGTGAGCGGGGCTCCAGAATCCCTATGTAAATAGTAGTATGTGAGTTATCTTAAAATTTGCAGTAGAAATGACGGGCTTGCCTCTATGGTGTTCGTGTCCAGCCAGAGTCTTGTAAGCTTCCGGCATGCTCGTAGATTCTCTGCCGCGGTGCACAGATTCTGGAGTCCTGCAGCAGAACAGTGCTTGGATTCTATCTCATTTACTCCTATGACCAGCGTAGCAAGGTTGGAGCAGGCCCACACAACGTCGAGCATCGCCCTGAAGGACTGGAAGGTACACCCAAACAACTCCAGGGAGGTTATTCTGTCGAAGAACGGCGGACGCATGCGGAGTACTCGGAGAGGGGGGCCACGCTCAAAGCGAATGCATTCGCACATCAAGATCTGCAGATGTGGGAAAGAGTGCATGAAGAGTTCACCTGCCATGCTGAGATTACTAGCAGGTGCTTTGTTGAGAAAGTCAAGACTCCCTAGCGCGAGCCCGCAAATGGTGGAAGTGTTCAGGGATTTCCGAATGGCTGTGCTGAAGCCGGGGAATTGTTGGCTTTGGATGATGGACGGGAAGGTCCAGAGGAGGTACTGCGCCCGGACGCGCCATGCGTGACAGGTAAGAGCGCACGCGCACAGTGCTTGTTGCGAGTCCCAAGGCTTCTGGGGCCACGTTGGCCAACCGCTGCCAATGTCTGAAAACTCGACGTATTCCGGGATTACGTCCATGACCTTCTCGCATAGCTCGATGGGCAAGAAGCAGGAGTCCATGGAGGGCGAAACAACGATCGGCGACGGTGCAATTCCGGTGATACTGGACGCTATATTGGTAGGTTGTTCGATGAGCTCGCAGCAGTCAAAACCTGGGGGTGGATCAAACTGGACGTACACAATGCGCATAGACTCGCAATTAGAGAGTACGAGTATACGAGGGGGGAGAGCGAGGAATGGGGAGCAGTTCGAGCTTCCCGGGTGGACGTGGAGCTGTAGAGGAGAAAGCCACACAGGACGGGGACGCGTATGTGTCCATCGCTTCGTCTCTTCCAGGCGTCCCTGTTCATTCGGACCTCGTACACAGCGAGACTACTGATCCCGGCGACTTCGATGAAATCTTCCATGATTTTTCAGATACATCATGGCTTCTTTCATATATCATAGGGTTCAGTTCATCTCGGAAGCCTATTCGCTAACTCGTCCACATATACCAATCAGTGCGACATGAATCATCTCATCACCAGTGTGCTGCAGAGAAAGCCTCTCGTAGAGGTCAGAGGTCTGCGCTGATATAGTGCGCTAGATTCACGGGATCGAGGTAGTCGAAGAGACGTTCAAAGGGCTGCAACGTGGACAACGTCGCGGGCGGACCATGTGGTCGCGCAGCGCTTTGCAGCTTCCGTACCACCGCTCAGCGCGATGCATGACAGATCTTCTTGAGTGACGTCGGCTTGCAGAAGCGACACGAGACTGCGACTACGATAAACCGGGTCAGAGCGCTGAAGCCTTATCGCCGTCGAGTCGCATGAGCGCAGCGCCGGGAAAGGGCCTTAAGGTTCAGTGTTTGCAGGCGGTAATTCCGGGAGTGTGCATACCGCAGGGGAATGCGCAAGGTATGTTCGTATTCCGAATACACAGAGAGAGCTCTGTGGCACCGCATGCATATAGATCCCTTAGATTGGAAGTAATCACCCTGGACACAGATAGAATGGATCTAGCATCAGCGTTCGAGTCCAAGAAGCGGTTTTTAATACTAAACCTATCATACAATGCGGTGAACTTCGCGCCCTTTGCAGCCCTCGCGGCGAGGGACGATATCTCGTGGTCGCCTAGAAAGCAATATATTCAACAAGAGTCGCAAAGAACAATATGCATACGCACTAGAAACGTACCGCGGCACGCTTCAACGACCATGGTCGGCAGAGGGGGTTCTGAGCCCTTGCGTCCCCGCGCCAGACTGGTCCTGGTGCAGATGCGCCCCATCGCACAGCGGCTCTCGTAGAGCGGTCGTTGCAGGTCTGCATATCGCGGACGATACGCGCATGCGCATGGTCGTCTTCGGCAATCGCCCGAGCACAGAGTTCCTGCGCTGCGCGGTCGTGTTCCGCGACGTCGACACATCGCGTCCATGGCGCCGGCGATCTCGGCGTCGCTCGCGCATATGCCGTTGCTGGGCATCCTCTCCCAAGAGCGCGCAGCTCGAGATTGTCAAGTGCGTCGACGAATCGCGCTTGCAGGTGGCCGTCCTCGTCAAGGCCAGGGTGGGTATCAAGGCGGGCGGGGGCGCCGCATACGGCGAGGAAGAATGGACAGACATCATCGGAAGATTAAACGAATATGCGAGCAGGGTTTCGGGGGCTCGACGATCGAAGGGCATTTGCTTCGCGCGCAGTGAATAGCAAGGAAGCGGAGGCGTCCGTTTCGGGGATAATTGTCTCCCGGGGAGGAGGGAGAGGTCGAGATCTTCGAACCTCGGGCACAGGCACCGTCAAGAGAGGTTCGGGGGGAGAGGCTGGTTTCGTTTTGAGAGTTCAATTGTAGTCAGCACAATGGACAGCGACTGCTGGCGGCTGAAGCGAGTTCAAAACATGCCACAGATGGTGAAAGTGGGAGAAAATGAATACCAGTAGCATGCGGATGGGCAACTTCGCGTCTGCGAAGACTACGCACCCGCGTGCGCCCTCGCTGAGATCGCGGACCTCCCCGACAGCGCTGACCACGGCGTTGCGCACGATCTTGCGGTGCCCATCAGTCTTCTTCTGCAGAACTTTTTTTTGCCTTTGAAGCGCTATAGAGCGCATCAATCAGACCAGGGCTAGCGGGCACAGAACAGGAGAAAGAATGACGACATACAGATCCTCGTGGAATCTACGCTCGTGAAAGGGGCGCTGGGGTCGACAGGTAGCACACTTATAGACGACATCGCCCTGGCCAGATACGGGGGACGAGACTACAAACGAGATCGGAGGAGAGGGAACATCGACGTCCTTTCCAGAACGGCAGGGTCCCTCTTCGTCATATTGCTTGCTGTGAAGTGGACAGCGATAGCTGAAGTGAGTTAAAAGGATGCTGCAGACAGTGCGGTAAAACCATACCAATGATACTAGGGCCTGCAGATACGTCCACAGGGAATTTACTCCCGTGTACACGCTCGAAGAGGTCACGAAACGTCTTGCATTGGGGGAAATTCAAGCAGAGAGGAGAGTGGCGGCGGCAGAGAAGTAGAGTTCTGGTCCTTCTGGACTAGACGTCGCCCATAATGCAGATCGTCCGTCCGTTCGAGGGGATGGCGGCACAGTCGAAACGGTTTGTGAACGCGTCAGAGCGCATACACCTTGCAGGATAGTCCTGCTCATGCATGAATCGTGGTTACTCCCCTGTGGCCTGTGCGCAACGTCGGCTTTGTGCGCTGTGGAAAGGATATGAGCCTGGTGCAGCACCGTCTTGTACCCTTTCCACAGCCCCTCCACTCACCTCAATTGCCCTTTCGTCAACGAACCCTCCGTCCATGGCCAGGACTGGATTGTTTTTGGCGAGTTAGAGGCCCTGGAGACTGCTTCATTGCGAGGATGGCGCAGAGATCGACGATGGACAGCCGGTTGTTCATGCGCAGAGCCAGTGATGGCTCGGTGAGTACACATCCGTCGCATGGGTGGTAGTCCTCATATAGCGCACAGAATATAGCAGCACCTAAAGAATCCCATGTAGATGATGATGAGACGGGAGCGCGGACTAAGGGGAGAGGACCTAGCTGGCCCAGCGCTGACGTGCGCAGGCGGACATCGGTCCGAGTCGGCGAGAGAAGCACGGTCACGTGGTCGTGCTTCTCCCGCTTCACGCGGCCTGCATTTTCCAAGCGCCGACGTCTGTCTCCCGCAAGTCGTCCTGCCACGTCCCGCATCTAGACAGGACTCCAAGGATAGCGACAAGCCCGAGTGCATGCCTCGGATTTTTCGCGGGGCCTGGAGACTAGCTCGGACCTCCATGTACCTCGCTCGCTGCGTTACTCGCCACACTCTCCGGATCTCGTCTACTCTCTTGGATCTTGGCTCCCGTATCTCGCCAGGCCCTGCGCTCGTTCAATGCTTCCACAGGAGTGCACGCCACAAAGCTCGGTGGACTTTGCCACATCACCCATTCAATCGAAGACCGCTAGCCTTCGCATGTCACATGCATTCTATCGCGCCCCGGACAACGACCGCGATCGCGTCTCTCGGTGCATATTTAGCCCCCGATCGGTTCTGCATCAGCATGGGCATGTCTGTCATACGCGGGAATACGGGCGGTTCTTCTACAATATGCGCCTCTGTGCTAGCGATCGCACAACTTCAAGCCAAGTCAATGCATTCGTTTCTCCATCTCTCTACCCGCTCATGTATGTGCTGTCACAACAGTATTGCGGGGTGTGTGCAATGAATGGCAGGCTCGTTTACATGGACGACGTCGACTCGATCTATCCTGTAAGGCCATCTTTCCCGCCCATCCTGCCGGTAATGCTCATTATCGCTATTCAGGATCGCCGTAGACGCGATACTACGGCTAGCCCGAGTTCCTCATCAATCTCGCGACATTCACAAGGCAGAACAGGCAGAACATACGCAGAAGTTGCGTTTTCTGAGCCGCGCACGTATATCCATGGGATACGCTCTCTTCGCCGTACGTTTCCCCGCTCGTAACAGTCGCTCGATCTGTAAGCCTGACCATCTACCTTGAAGAACTCGGACTCGCTCTGGGACGAGCTGCACGCTGCGGACATGCATGGGCACGACCAATTTTGCTGATGTCAGTTGATGAGCAGGACGGACCGCAGATGTACGGACACAATGCGGGCTTTGAGAGCGTACGTGCCGATCCTCCGCCCTCTCGCGGTCCACCCGCTCATGCATCGGATGTGTAGACCGGCGGCTTCCGCTATCACTCGCCCGATCTGTGACCCTGGCCCCATATCCTTCAGAACTCAGGCTCGATCGAGCCGCACATGGCAGGCCTGCGCGAGCTCGACCGCCCCCAGTGGACGCCTCTCGATTGGGATGAGGAGCATGGCCTGTAGATTTGTCGTCACAACGCGGATCTCGTCAGCGTACGTCTCCTATGACCCAACGCCCTCGCGATCTACTCGCCAATTCATCCGATGCGTAGATTTGTGGCTCGCGTGCGGGGTGTTGCACGGCTACGTTACTCCTCAAGTCGATCGTCGGCACCAGCCGGCTGGTATTTGGTGGGCCCATCTGTATATCGCAGGGTCAGCAGATGTATGTTTGTGCTCACAGAACGACGGTATCGTATTGATCAAGTATTGTAGGCGTTTTGGAGTACCCCGTATTCAACCGTAGAATGAACTGCGCGGCCGTCCAACCCGGTACGTTATCATATATACTACAAGTATGGCACTACGTAGCAGCTCCCTCGAAAACGCTACCCGTAATTGATGTGAATCTAGTTACTGTCTGTGATATCTTCGCAGAAGTCTCTGCAGAAGAGAAACGATGTGCTCACGCCATCTCTGCATCAAGGGACAAGGAGAATCACCGTGTCCACCGGCTGTGCAGTACGCTTGGCTGGGCACCCTGCGTGTCGAGCGCACCCCAAGACCGACCCACTGCGGAGCGCGTGCGGAGTGCCGTAGGGGCTCTTCGACGCCACGACCCTCACCGGTAAGCCACACACCATAGACCTACATTAGCCTCTTGACTGACATACGCACAGAGATCTATGGACTGATGTCGGTGAAGTCCCCTCCAAGGTGTTCACGGTACGTCTCTCCGCTATCGGTCGCTCGATCGGTGACTATACCTTCCCATTCCGCAGAACTCTCTGCCGCGCTCTAGGGCGAGCTGCGCGCTGCAAGCCTGCGCGTGCACAGCCGCCTCTCACGGATGCTGTTCAAACGAAGAGGAATGCTGTTTCCGACGAAGAATACAGATCGCAGATATATCGGCACAACGCCGCGGACCTCCTCAATGTATGTCCCCTCGCCCTCGATCTACCTCGACCTCTATTCTGACAAATCGGACGGATGTCGACTAGGGGCATCTTGGGTGCGGTCGCATCCCTGAAGCAGTTACCTGATGGTATTGGGCTCATGTACGGGATGGAAAACTCACAGGCGATGCGACGGTGGGCGGGGGCGATTCACGAAGTCGTTGGAGAGCTGTGCTGCGTCAAACTATGTGGCTTGGCTGTGCACACACAGGAAAGGAGAACCGGCAGGGTATCAGACGGTGTTTGCGGCGGCCAATCAGAGGCTTCCCCGCAACACATGGGCAGCGCAGGAACAAGAATAGTACTGCGCGGACACACTAGCGCTGAGAGTATTTGTATAAAGTAATGCGTCTGGATTGAGTTGACGCGGTCGAAGCATCCGTGTGTCGGCAGGACTGGGGAGATCGATCCGGCGTGGACACTGTGAGGCGGTGGGCAGGACCAGAGATGAACAAAACCCTATTATAGGAGAAGCCCGGATGCATTGAAGCTGTCTTCAAAACCTTCAGCCGCACAAGCCTGTAATGTTGCGGTGTACGAGGTCCGTATGAACAGAGAGAAAACTGGGGCGGAGGATTGGGGAGGCACGCACGCGTCCCCATCCTAATCTTGCTCCTCTACCTCGCTCTGCGTCCACCACTCCAACAGCTCCCCGTGCCTCGCCCTCGGCCCTCGCGCATCCACACGCTCCAAGAGACTCTGAAAACGAATCTGCGAGCATCGGGTACGTCCATTTTGCACCACCCAGATTTTCCATAACATCCGCAAGCTCATAGAATATAATACAGACGCAGGGTGTATTCCTTGGATTCTGCCATACCCAATCGTTCTCTCGTCCTCCATGGAGTCCTCCCGCCTTCCAATCGAGCTTTGCGAGGCCATCATGAACGCACTCCCCGACTACTACGAGTTTTGTCCCCCGCTCTGGCTTGCGGATCCGTGGGACTATGTCGATTTCGTACTCAGCCAATGTGCGCTGTATGCGTGCGCTCTTACCTGTCATGCGTGGCGGGTGCGGGCGCAATACCTCCTCTCAACCTTCCCTCATATCCGCAATCATGCAAACCTCGCTCATTTTACCATGGCCGTCGAAGAATCTCCCATCACCGGACTCACCCTAGGGGGGTACTACGATGACCCTGAACCGTTCGATGCCAGCAAGGCCAGCGAGCTCTTCATGCGCTCTTGCCCCCGTTTACAGCACTTGCGGTGTCTCAAGGCTCGCTTTGACCGCGGACCCCCTGTCCGACTCCTCCGCATGCTGCCATTCTTCGCCAGTATAACCACCCTGCAACTGTGGGAATGTACCTTCCAGAATTTCAGGGCGATGATGGACGTTGTGTGGGCCTGCCCGAACCTCGCCATGCTGGAGATATGTGCCCCTGGGTTCAAAGCGCAGCCCTCTTCCCCCGCGCGGCTCCAGCAGATGTCCGCCGCTGTGGAGCATTTACGAGCATGTCAGAAGCTTACATTTCTCTATGTAGACATGTGCGCCCTATCGGCAAGTTGACATGTCCCGCCGTTCATTTTGAGACCGTCAATGACCTATTCTTTATACAGAGAATGTGGGGCCCCGATAGTGCTAGACTAAGTGGTGTAGGCCGCGTGTTCGGGTGTGCCGTTACGGAGCTGTACTTTGAGATGGTTGGGCCTTATTCTCGCGGTACGCGGAACACAGTCCAGTTGCGGTGCATGGCTCACACTTTAAATCATTAGAGATGCTCGGCAACCTGTTGAGGGACTCCTTTCCCGCTTTGCGCTCAGTCACAGTCTTCTATGACTTAGGCTTTTTGAAAGGCGGTGAGGACGGTCGGGCACTGCCCTGGCTCCACATCATAGCCATTGGTCGCCCAATACCCGGGAGACTGAAGAGGACTGTCCTGCAAGACACGCACAATGACGAAGACAACCACTGCTGCATGGGGGCCGTCGGCACGAGCGAGAATGTGGCTGGTTCCGAGAAGTGGCTTCCGGAGTTGTTGTCTGGGCTGGAGGAGCTCACGATCCGCCTCGATAAATGCAAGGACCCGGAGAAGTGCGCAAGGTACATCTGGTCTGTCTTGCTTGGGATGCGCGATGTCCTGCGATTTGAATATTGCCCAGGTTACGAAAGACACTGGTTACCGTACTTGCTACCGGCTATAATGTGACTGCCCAGATCTATTCCACTTCGGTACCTTTCATCCACATTGTTGTCTATCACATCCTCGTTTACTCGATTCTGGTTTGACGGTGTCACACTACACGAATTTAAATATGTACCTTACTTGACAGTGGACTATAGATATGCCATTCTCTCGTATTCATCGAGTATATAATCGAGCTTCGGGCCACTTGGAGATTGAACACGCGGACACTACATGCTGCAGCGCTGTGCCCTGCGGATGGGTAGCTCGACAGGCTGAGCGGTCTGCGGCGGAATCTTCGCGGCGCGCGAAGCGCAGAACACTCGGACACAGAACACTCGGACACCCATCGCGGCATGCGAAGCACGGAACACGCGGACACATTTCGCAGCATGCGAAGCATGCGGACTCTTGTACCTACTAATTCTTGGTCTCATTCACCAGTCTTACCTACTTCTCTGGTTTACATCTACCTTCGCACGTACATAGTGGCTTCGCGCAGGGTGCAGAGGCGAAGCCGGTAGCGCGCGGCGCGCGCAGTCACCATATCCGATAGCGGCGAGCCGCAATCTTATGCCGTCTCTGTAAGCCTAGGACGCTGAAGAAGATGTGCCATGTACCGCACTGAGCCGTGGAATGGAGGCAACAAGGCACGGTGCTACCACATGGTCCGCCCGTGACGTTGTCCAGGCTGGAAGGACTTCGAGCGTCTCGTAGACACCCACAATCCTGTGTAGCGCGCATCATATCAGCGCGGACGTCTAGCAACGACGGTCCCGGGTTTAGAACTAAAAAGATACGGATTTTATGGAGAAAGAGCCGACAAGAATTTGGACGGCGTATACAGACTTCCACGAGAGGGTTTGTCTGCAGCACACTGGCGATGGGATGGTTCATTAAGCATCGATTCGTATATGTGGACGAGTCAGCGGATAAGCTCCCGAGATGAACACAACCCTCTTATGAAAGAAGCCAGGATGTATCTGAAAACCCATGGAAGGTTTGATCGAAGTCGCCAGAATCAGTAGTCTCGCGGTGTATGATGTCCGAATGAACAGAGGGAGCCTGTATAGGAGGAAGCGATGCACATATACGCGTTCCTGTTCTAGATGGCTTTCTCCTCATACAGCTCCACGTCCACCCGGGCCACTCAAACTGCTCCCCATTCCTCGCTCTCCAGTCTCGCACATCCGTACTCTTTCATAGCGAGTCTGCAAACATTGCGTACGTCGACTTTGAGTCCCCCCCGGTTCTACCACAACTTCCTCGAGCTCTTCGACCATCCTACCGATATAGGGTCCAGTATCTCCGGAATCGCACCGTCGCCGATCTTTGTCTCGCCCTCCATGGAGTCCTGCCTCTTGCCCATCGAGCTATGCGAGAAGGTCATGGACGCAATCCCGCATTACGTCGAGTTTTCATATACTGGCAGCCGTTGGCCAATGCCGCCCAAGAACGCTTGGGACTCGCAACAAGCACTGTGGGCGTGCGCTCTTACCTGTCACGCATGGCACGTCCGGGCGCAGTACCTCCTCTGGACCTTCCCGTGCCTCATCCAAAGCCAACAATTCCCTCGCTTCAACGCAGCCATTCGGAAATCTCTGAACACCCCCACCATTTGCGGGCTCGCGCTAGGGGCTCTCGACGTTCGCCACGAAGCATCTGATCTCAGCACAGCAGGGGAACTCTTCATGCACTCTTTCCCACATCTGCGGTACTTGCTGTGCCAAAACATCAGCTTTGAGCGTGGTCCCTCTCTCCGAGTACTCCACACGCGTATGCCGTTCTTCTCCAGTATAACCTCCCTGGAATTGTGGGGGTGTACCTTCCAGTCCTTGAGAGGGATGCTCAACATTGTATGGGCCTGCTTCAACCTTGCTACACTGAACGTAGTAGACAATGAGGTCAAATGGGAGCGCCATTCCGCCGCAGAAACTCAGGCTCTGTCTGCCGCAGCGCGGAGTTTACGAGCATGCCGGAAACTTACAAGGCTCTACCTGAAAGAGGATGCCAAAACAGTAAGTCCGTCCATTCTACAGCACTTTTGAAGATCGCTCACAACCTACTCTTTACATAGAAATTCTGGCGCCCTGCTGACGTCGGAGTGAGTGGAGTAGGCCGCGTATTTGGGTGTGCCGTTACGGAGCTGGTTTTCCATACTGATAGGGCTTCCGGTACGTGGAATTCCGCCCAGCTACGTCACATAGCTAACCTTCTACTTATCCTAGAGGCCTTCATCAGCCTCTTCAAAGACTCATTTCCTGCCCTGCGCTCGGTCACGATCGCCTTCGCGGAGTTGGATGAGAACCGGGAACACCCAAGTTGGCTTCATGTCATCCTGGCCACAGGTCGTCCAATACCCGGGATCTTGAAGACAATCGTCCTGGATGGCAACCACCTGCAGGGGTGCCGCAACTGCTGTGAGAATGCTGTGGGCACGAGCGAGGAGGTGGTCGGTTCCGCACAGCGGCTTCCGGAGCTCTTACCCGAGCTGGCGGAGCTCGTGCTCCGTCTGGACTGGTGCAAAGATCCGGCAAGTCACGCTGCGTACATCTGGAATATCTTGCCTGGAATGCGCAATGTCCTGCGGTTTGAGTATCGTGCAGATGTGGATGAGGGCTGGAAACCATATACCATACTCCCACAGGATTTCCACGGCTTTTGGCTCAGTAGATCGATTCGGACTAGGACTCAGGCTCAAACCTTGACAATGACTGCGAAGACATCCTGCCTATAATATGACTTTTCCCCCTCTATGCTCACACATACCGCTCCACCCTTGACTACCTACTTCGTATACATTATCTGTGATTTTCCTGTTTCATCTCTTCGATTACCGGACTCGATATCGACGACTTCTGCTCGATTACTCTTCACATGTACCCGGCCTGATAGTACACTCTACCCCTACTTTTCTTCTGTACGATGAAAGTCTCAGCACGATGTCGACATGTAGGTTGTATACTTAGATATGTCGTATTTATGTGCTCCTATGCCTCGGACGGACGACGTGAGGCTCGCTACGTCGTTTACATTGCGTGTATATATTATGGGAGACGTGCGAAACTCGGAAAGCACGATGCCTCGGAGATGGACCAATATATAACATATACACGGCATGACAGAAAGCGGGAGGATGCAGGGCACCTGTGCATGCTCTACCACTTCTACCGCGGCGGCCTGCGTCGTCTGCGCGAACAAGAGCCGCCAGGTCGATCGTGCATTGTACGAAGTGCGGGATGCGTACCTTGATGTCAAATATTGCATATGGCGGGCAGCGGGTGCAGCGACACGCGTCCCGCGCTTCAGGGAACGGCATGCGCGGAGGTGTGCTAGAGCCTCGAAGATGAGCGAATATTCCGGGCAAACATAAGGTGGGACTCAGGTTGATGTTCCTATGCTCCTAAGATCCAGACACGCATATCAGACGTGCCCGTGCAGAGAAAAAAAGTACGTACTGCGCAGACGTTGACCGAGTGTTGCAGGATGACGCCGCACTGCGAGGCACCTCGCTGCGCTGATACCACGCCGGCGCGATGTATTGATACGGGTACTTCTTTTTCGGCGAGCATGAGGTCACCTACCCCGCCCGGTGAGGGATTTCTGTCCGCCATGGAGCTCAGACCGACTCACAGTCCTCGTCCCTGTATTGCGACGCCATCAAAGCGGACACGACATACACCTGCGCACCACGAACCAGTAGTAGGGAACGGGCGGGCGTAATTCGGCGCCATCGGAGCGGACGGCACGCTCTCTGCAGACGGGGCATCCTCCGCTCGTGCTGTCTCTGCGTCAGAGAATAGGGGATGTATTCTCAGCGCCCTCGAGCAGCGATGGGAAGTGCGTACCCTTCTACGACGGCCGCTGGAGGCACGTTGGTAAGTAGTGCAGTGGAAATGGCGCGGAGATGGACGACACCCGACGGCGACCCTTGTCCGCACGGTTTTCCAGGCGCCCCAATGGGATTCGAGATACCCCCGAGCGGGATGCAGCGATGGCGGTTTGAGGATAAGTTTGCGGGTGGTTGGGCAGATTGGTTGCGCTTGCGAGTACTCGAGTCTGGCGGTTTTGCTGATGACTACAACCGGTCGTTCGTGCGCAGAGCCTGCGATGGCTTGGTCCCAGGCCTGACCTGACAGCAATAAGGTTAGCCATCGTGCTTATATAGCGCACAAAGGGCAGCATTTGAATGAGCCTACGAAAGCGACGACGAGATTTGAGCGCGGACGAGGGGGGAAAGGACCCACCTTCGACGGCGGGACCGGCTGACTGCAGGTGAGTGACAGAGAGCACAGAGAGACGTGCCCTTCAGCATGCTGCTCCTCAAGAATCTCCCCGTCGAGGTGATCCATGTAAAAAGTACTCAGCGTCTCCAAGACGTGGACCAGGGCAGTAGTCACTAGACGGCGTCGATACAGCAAGAGAGAGTGAGTGAGTGAGTGGGTGGTATTTATGGAATCGTAGGTCGCGTACATCCTCCAAACCGTGGGAACTACAGTAATACACTATACAAGTAACACAATCGTTCCCTCAGTTCGTATACGACTCGACATCGAGAGAGTTCGCGAAGACGGCCGCAGCGAAACGAGCGCCTGTGGGGAGCCAATCGTTTGACGCGTGACGTCATCGCGTCGACCTCGCTGCGGCAGTTTCAGCTGCTTGACCTGGCTCTCTTCCATCCTGCGCCCTCCTCGATTGTTGACGCATAGACCTTTGCGATCTGGAGGGAAGAGCTCGCTTGCGCCGGCTGTCGTCCAGCTCGTCTCGATCTCGACACTCCTAATTCGCCAGCGGCGGTTTTCTAGTACGGAGTGCTCTCGCCTCCATTACGGCCGTGGACGCCACAAATCTCTGAAGGACACCCCTTCTACCTTCGAGGCCACGCTAGGCAGCCTTCACAAGACGCATCTGCTCTACAGCGCGCAGAAGGAGACGATAATCACGCTCACGTCCCTCCGTACCAAGTTCGTGCACAAGACGAGCAACGCGCGCCGCGAGGCTGTCCGCAAGGCCAACAGGAGCAGTTTCAAGCAGATCCACCATCTGCAAGAGCCTGTAAGGCAGCAAAGTACTAGTACACGTGTCTGGGTACGTTCCTTTTTTCCAGCATCCCTTGAACTCGTTTCAGCGATCGCTGCAAACTTCACCGCACTCTGAAGACGAGGCCCACGTATCCTTTTGACCCTCGCCTTACAACTCCTACATATATAAAGCCCCAGTACTCTGCGCTCTCTCAGGGAAGTTTTTGCGGGACCGGAGTTTCGTTTTTCTCGGTATATCTGCCTCGCTCGTGGCTCCTGTTACCACTAACTAAATTATCGCCATACAGATGTGATATTCTATCGGTCGACCGATATGTAGCTGAAGACGCTCATCGCCATTGTGCCACTCACCGGGTAATCCCTGCATCATATACGCAGATGATCTATATGCTAAAGCCCGCGCGCAGCTGCATGCGTTATGTCGTCGGCGATGTGTATTCCTGCGTTTCCGTCTAACTGCTTCCTACGGAGCTCGGGATCGCTCTGCGACGAGCTACGTACGGATGGCCTGTGCAGACACGACCGCTTCTGGCGGATGCCGCTTGATAGGGATGGCTCAGATCTACGGGCACGACGACGACTTCGCCAACGTACGTCTTCTGGGAACTTTATTCCCTCGCGATCTGTGGGCTGATACGTCGGATATGCAGACTAGCGGCTCGCATTCGGGCTGCTGCGCTACGCTTTTCGTGCAGTCGACCACCGACGGCGTTGAGCGGAGACCTCCCAATTTGAAGATGTAGACACGTACTGCAGTGAGTTCCGACGACATCGATGCGCGAGGAAAGAAAGGGAAGGAAAGCTGAAACGACTACGTTCGAGCAGAAGGACAGCCGCCAGCGAGGAGCCACTCATAACCTCCGGCGTGTGACGTTATCGCGTCGCGGTCGCTGCACGCGCTGCTGCTCATCTCCGCTAGCGTCCTTGCACGACTGCACAGGGACGAGTAGCCGCCCTGGGCTCTACTTTCGACTCTGCGGGGCCTGCATCCAGGTCTTCAACACGGCTCTCTCGCTCAGGATGGTCTCCTCCCTCATCCAGCTCAGATCTCACCAGGACTCCGTCGGCCTTCTACGTGCTCCCTCTCTACTCCAGCGCACCCTCTGCTGTCTCCGCCGTGTGCGTTCACGCCCCGACGCTCTGCAGCCGTTCTTCTTCTGCTTCCCAGTCGATTACCGCTAGCCTGGCAAGCCGGAGGAGGAGATTGTCACTGCGCTCGTGTCTCTCGCCAACAGGTTCGTGCAGAAGATGGGTGACGAGCGCGGCCAGGCCATGCGCAACGTCGTAGCCAGCGGTGTCAAGAATGTTCGCAGCATCGGCGAGGACCCTGCCAGGCTTGGGAGAAAAGTCGCAATAGGTGCGTCTGCAGACCCTGATGCCTTGATACGATCTACTTTAACTGCTGAACTACCTGCAGCATCCCTTGTACACGCTTCAACCGCCGCTACTGTCCTCGCCCCGTACAGTTTCGTCCCGGCGTCTGGTGCATACCTGAGGAGCTCGGCCGCCGGGTCCCCGCTCCCCAAATCAAGCATGCAAGGCTTGAATTGTCACGTTGAAGGGCAGAACATCGTCTGACCGCTTGTGGACCTCCAATGGCCGATGCTGACGGTGAGTCCGATGATTTTGTGTTGCCCGCCCAGAATGGAGGCAATTTCCTGGAACGGTGTTCGCGCGAGCAGGACCTGGATACTGTTGCGAGGGCTTGATTGCGCTGTATACGCCCGCAAATATGCGTAACGTGCGTAGCGTTGTGCGCCGCGCGTTTGCTCAGCGCGCGTAGAAGACCATCTTCACTCTCTTCTCTAGCGCGAAATATTACATGAATTTGAACACATCCGTAGGCGCTGCGCATATCGCGCTATCGGCTGCGTTGAGTGGATACTCAACATGAACAGCTCAGCTAATGAGGATGCGCATCAAGGCCGAATTTGCCAGTGTTTCTTGCATCGACTCGGAAGTCATTGTCGACGACATAATTGGGTCGAGCGTGTTGGCTGCGAGTGTGTATGAGCTCAACATCGAGCCTCGTAGCGTACACCGTGGAGAATGATATGGTGAGTATCGGAAGTGTTCTGTATCCTTAGACCGCTGCCATCATTTCTAACAGAACGTTCCTTCCAGTCACCGAGGGCGCTCCGGAACCGGCCAAGTTCTCTGGAATGTGAATAACCATCGCCGACTCTCAGTCACTCGTAGCGCTGATCCTCATTTAGCTATGTACAAGGTGCAGCCGACCCTGTGCCGCTCGTCTTTGTCGGCAAGGGCATCACGTTCGACTCGGAAAGAATCTCCATCGGTGATTATACGTGAGTCCGACGTGTCTCGTCCACATCCAACTCGCACTGAGTACCATCACATTGGATAGGACATGCCCCGAATGCACGAGAATACGGGCGGTGTTGCTACCGTATGCGCTTCCCCGCTGGCGATCGCTCAGCCTTAGGTGCCGTATACACGCGCTTCTTTCTCCGGCTGTCCACCCGCTCATGTCTGTGCTATCAGTATAAACGTAGTTATGCTCACCCCGGGCACGGAGAACATGTCGCATCCTGTGGCGGACCATCCCGGAGACATGTCAACTGTATACACGGCGCCGGCACTCGGCACGAGACTCACATTGTGTATGCCATGAATCATGAGCCAATCCAGATCGACAACACGGACACTGAAGGCCGGCTCGTTCTGTACGGTAAGCCTATCCTGGCGCAGCGTTCCTACCAGAACACTCATTACCGGCGTGCAGATGCGATGCACCACGAATCGACCGAGTTCGAGCCGAAGACTTATTGTTGTCGCGATATTCACTGGTCATGCCGGGCGCATCGTATGTGCAGAAACTGCTGAAGAACACTCGTAGTTCCATGGATTACGACGTTATCACAACTATGACCTCCCGTGCTGCACTCCTGCAGGTCTTGGATTCGCTCTAGGACGAGCTGCACGCCGCAGATCTGCGCGAACACTACCGCTTCTGGCGGATGCGGCTCGACGAAGAATACGACCCGCAACTCTACGGGCACAACGTAGACCTCGACAATGTACGTGTCCCCTGTCCATGTCCTCCGGCGATCGGCGCGCTGATAGACGCGCAGACCTGCGGTTCGTGTGTGGGCTGCTACACGGTTGCGTTCATTCCGATATCGCTTATCTAGGGTGTCGACTCCGCGGCTCGGTGGCCGGGGGTGCTTCGTGAACTTTATGGGGAATTGTCCCGCGTCCATATACATATGGGTAGCGGCTGTGAACACTCTTGCAATGAGAATTAGTGTGGTATTGAGTGCTGTTCGCGGCGGGCGATCGCGACGAGAGGCGGTCCTCGCAGCACATGGACCACGCTGGAACAAGAATCTGACTGGATGGATAAAGTGACGCTGCAAGTGCATGTATAAGGCAATGCGTCTGGAGCTAATTAACGCGGTGGAAGCATCGGCATGGCGGCGCCAACTTGAGAGATCGATCAAGCTTGCACACTGCGAGGCAGTGGTCAGGTCCCGGAGATGAACAGAACCCTATTATACGAGAAGAGCGGATGTATTTCAGACATCTTCAAAACTTTAAGCTGCGGCGACCGGTAATGTTGCCGAGTACAAGGTCCGAATGAGCAGAGGGGAGACTGAGGGAAAAGGATTGGACGAGGTACACACGGGTCGCTGTCCTAATCCTGCTCCTCTACCTCGCTCTGCTTCCGCTACTCGAACTGCTCCCCGTATCTCGCCCTCACATCTCACACATCTATACGCTCCAAACTACGCCCTACACCTGGGTCAGTGCATTTCCCGTAAGTCCATTCTTCTCATCAAAATCTATCTTAAAATTTCCGCAAGCTCATCAAACATCCTGCAGGTACAAGGACTATTCCGGAAGACAGGCAACAGCCGATCGTCGTCTCGTCCCCCATGGAGTCCTGTCGCTTGCCAATCGAGCTCTGCGAGGCCGTCATGAACGCACTCACAGACTGCTACGATTTTGGTCCCCCGCTCGGTTCTTGGAGTGAGCTAGGATATCTGGAGACCGTAGACGGGCAACGCGCGCTGTGCGCGTGCGCTCTTACCTGTCGTGCGTGGCGCGTGCGGGCGCAGTACCTCCTCTCAACCTTCCCGCATATCCGAAATGATGCATGCCTCGCCCATTTCACCATGTCCGTCCAAGAATCCCCCATTACCGCGCTCACGCTAGGGAGTTACGAACTGCTTGATGCCAGCAAGGCAAGCGAGCTCTTCATGCGCTCTTGCGTCTGTTTGCAGCACTTCCGGTGTATCTCTGTCCGCTTTGACCTCGGACCCCCTTTCGGACTGCTCCGCATGCGTCTGCCATTCTTCGCCAGTATAACCATTCTGCAACTGTGGAGCTGTACCTTCCAGTCTTTCAGGGCGATGATGGACGTTGTGTGGGCTTGCCCGAACCTCGCTATGCTGGACATAAGTGCCACCACGTTCAACGTGCAGCGCTCTTCCGCCGCGGGGTTCCGGCAGATGTCCGCCGCCATGGAACATCGACGAGCATGCCAGAAGCTTACAAGCCTATGTCTAAATGTGGACACCCTGCAGGCAAGTTCACATATTCCGCCATTCTTTTTGAGACCGTTCATGACCTACTCTTTACACAGCCAACCTGGGGCCCCCCTAGTGCTGGACTAAGTGGTGTAGGCCGCGTGTTCGGGTGTGCCCTTACGGATCTGTACTGCAAGAATGCTCGGCGCTATTCTCACGGTACGCGGAACGCAGTCCAGTTGCGACGCATGGCTCACACTTGAAATTCCTAGACATGCTCGGCCCCCTCTTGAGGGACTCATTTCCCGCTCTACACTCAGTCACGGCGATCACTATGCCAAGCCTCTCAATGCTCGATGAAGATCGGGGAACACCCTGGCTCCACATCATAGCCATAGGTCGCCCAATCCCGGGGAGACTGAAGAGAATTGTCCTGGAGACCAAGCACACTCAGGAGAACCACCACTGCTGCAAGCAGGTCGCCGGCACGAGCGAGACGGTCGTTGGTTATGAGCAGCGTCTTCCAGAGCTTTTGTCTGGGCTGGCGGAGCTTATAATCCGCCTCGATTACTGCAAGGACCCGGAGAGGTGCGCAAGGTACATCTGGTCTGTCTTGCCTGGGATGCGGGATATCCTTCGGTTTGAATATAGCCCAAATTTGAATGGAGACTGGTCACCGTATACCTTACCGGCGGCGAAGTGATTATCCCGCTTACCCACACATGTTATCCCACTGCTTTGGTTTCATTGCATCGATCTACGTTGTTCTCTGCTACATGCCTTTTTTGCTTACCACTGTGCTCGACTGCTTCACACTAGATTGAAATCAGTATGTACCCAGCTCGATAGCGCACTTCCAGTGTGTACACACGCCTTTTCCGTACCTCCCCGATGGACGACGGGGTCCCGTAGTCACTTGCAGTTCGTACGCATGAATACATAGTACTCGGTACGGAATGCTCGAAAGCACGGACCGCGCGAGACTGGCCGGGATGTTCATCCTGTGTGCCCATACCATGGAGGGCGCGCAGACTCGGGAGATGCAATATTATAGTCGCGGACTGAAACGGTACATAATACACGGGCATTGGCGTGCGATACAGAGAGGGCATTCGGAGCACCTGCACAGGACCCGGGCCAAAAAAAGAGTACTCATGTAAGCTGCAGCCCCGCGGTCGCCGCACGTTCGAGTGCCGTGAGGTTATCAACACCACGCACGGAGAGCGAGACACCTTTTTTGAGTTGAGAATCTACATAGGAGGCGCGGCAGGTGCCAGCGCGCATCTGTCGTGCTTTGGAGCATCGTATGCAGGGCGACGCGCTCGGGTAGGTCGAGGCTTGGCAATCCGTTTGCGATAGCAAGAGCGTGTTAGCGGTAATCATAGACCGTTATACGAGTCTGCACTCAATTCCTTTGAGTACGAAGTCAACGGGACGGTGTCGTTGCTCCTGCGATGCTCTAAGCGCACATGCAACTGTATATTTGAAAGAGCGTATCAGCAGCCCTCCTGGCATCGAACATGCGATCCATACGAAGTCTGACAACGGCATACTGGTTCTAATTCAAGAAGCGTGGAGCACTCGACGTGATGCATGGTCGCGCAGCTGTCTAGAATACGCGTAGGATATGAAGAGTATCTGATCTCGCCGCGCAGTAGCATGCGCGAAGAGACTCTAGCCTTGCACTGTGCCCGTTAAGACCGGTACCGGGACCCCCAGGGCGCGCAGGTGCTCGCTGATCGCGCTGCTACCGGTCTGCAGAGACGAGTGCGCGTGAGCATGCGTGATTTGTTGCCGTGAGTATGGGCACGCATGGATCGGCCATGGTATCTGCGTGAGCTTCATTGCTCGACGTTGGCCTGCCTGTCGCAGACCCGTCGTACTCGAATAGATTGGTCTGGGGCGGCGACGGTGGGCGCAAGTCTGCAGCTGGTGCCGCTCGATGATGCGGCCGCCCTTACGTCTGCGAACAGATCTGCATCGAACGCAGAGACGCACGGTGCTGTAGTCTACGTACGCGAATCTCGGGGAAGCGTTCATATATGCATCACCGGCGCTGAATTTTGCGAGACTGCATGCGCGTACGGGGCACCTGGAAACTAAAGCGTTCAGCTCCGCTTGTGGCCTTGTTCGCAGTCGTGATATCCCGCACTCTAGCGGGCTCGTCTTCCTTGCATGTCCACGCGATCAGCGCGGGTGCGTTCTAGACGTGCCACCGACAGCGATGGAGGAGACTCGCGTGCTCCCGGACGCTCTCCCCAGACAGGACACCGTCTGCCTACGACGTCTCCGCGGCGTCCTCCACAGCGATCGCGTGCATACCAAGTGGAAAATGAGGGCATACCTAGCTGGGCATCCCGCTGGTTGAGCGCGCCCTAAGACGGCCGCACCGGGGAGCGGGTGCGAAGTGAAATATCGCCCGTGTGCTTGAGTATCTAGTGTGTGCGACTCGCGCAGTCCCTGCGTGAGTCACCGCAGAGTGTGCGTCGCTGCCATCCGCGTATCATCTCGCATTTGGCTCCAGTGATGTGCCGATACACGTACCTTGGATGTGTGGCGCTAGGGTCTCGCCCTTCATCATCTTCGTGCTCGTCCGAGCGCAGGTGTGGCGGGTGGGTAGTCTGAGTGGGAGCCAGCGTCCTGCGACCGGCAGATGAGAGGCGAAGGCAGGCGTCGAGTAGAGCGGCAGCGGAGAAGCAGAGTTCCCGGTTGGTTCCAAAGTGCAGGTATCCCGTAGTGGTTACGAAGCGGAGGGGCGTGGTTGCGGAGGTATTTTAAAGCGCGTTGCGGCGCACACCGTCGATTGGTTCCTCTTATGTACGAGTCTGGGCTCTGGGTGTCTGGTCCGGAGGCCCGTGGGCGATGCCCTTTGTCCTGCGCAGAGGATATGAGCCCGCAACTCGGGCATAGATCGTCCAGCACCGGCTTCTACCCATTTCACAGCTCTTCTGCTCACCTTCTTTTCCCTTCCATGCCTCACATACCACTAGATGGAGTTTTGATGGTAGACAGCGAGTTCTATGGCAGATATTGACGGTAGACAGCCGGTCGTTTGTGCACACAATGCCTGTGATGGCTCGGTAAGTCCTCACCCATCGCATTTAGATTTGCGCGACTATGCCGCGCAGAAAGCAGCCCCCTAAGTGCCTCGTCGAAACAACACCGACACCGGAGAATAGATTAAGGGGAGGGGACTTACTTCGGTTATTGAGCGAGTCGCACGTACAGGTCCGGAGGGCCCAGCGCTCCTAGCAGCGGCAGATGCGCAGACAGAGCGAGTGATAGCTAAGAGCACAGGAAGAGCCAGAGACCAAAGTCGTGCGTAGATTAAAGACACAGCGGATCCAGAGCTCCCAAGAGATGTTGGACGTCGATGCAGAAAGAGAGAGAGCGGAGACGACTGCGTTTGAGCAGAGAGACGGGCGTCTGCGAAGAGCCAATCAGGTCCGACGCCCGACGTCATCACATTGCAGACGCTGCCGCTGCCCTCGCTTGCCCTGCCTGTCCTCGATCCTGCGCCCTTCACGACCGCACGAGGACAAGCGTCGGCCGAGGACCTTGATTCGAGCTCCTCTGCGCTGCCCCGAGCTTGGAGATACCTTGGATATCCTCTCGCACTCGTTTGCCCTCTCGTTCTGGTTCTCCCTCTCTCGCCAGCACTACTTCTGAGTCTTTCTACGTGCTTTCTATCTACCCCGGCTGTCCCTTTACTGTTTCCTTAACGGGTATCGAGGCCAGGGAGCTCCCGAAGTCTACTCTTTCCTCATTTCAGTCCAAGCCCTGCTATCATCAGAACGACACATCCATTCTATGGCGCGCCGAAACTGCGCTCACGTCTCATCGCACGGACAAAGAGGCGAACCGCGAGCCGTGCCTACCGCTGTAAATAAGGTCCGCAACCTCTGCGAGGGCGTACAGGAGATTAGAGTCCTCGTAGAGGTATCTGCAGACCCTCATATCGCCGGTATGTCTTTCTGATTGTCCCGCTGTCACTGGCATTCCGTGAATCCGGTGCAGCGATTGCTGTCCATCTTGCGTTTCACGAATGACGAGGCACAATTTCTCCGTTTTTGCAAGGACGTCGATCCTCGCTCGCCCATGCTCTCGTTTGCGCTCCGGTCCCCCATATCTGGCCAGGCCGATGTCGTCTATTCACGAGCGACCTGTCGACCCCAGCGCTCCCTCACGGGCGTAGATGCAACGAAGCCCTGGATGCCTGATTATTCCTTTGATTCTACGCTCGCTAGCCCGGGTGCGCCCAAGAACTGTCATTGCGCTCACGTCACCCGGCAACACGTTCGCGCAGAAGAAGGCCGACGGGCGCCGCGAGATCGTGCGCAAGGCCGTGGTCAGCGCTCTCCTGAAGGTTTGCGAATCAAGCGAGGGTATACGGGGTTCCAAGCACTCGTGGACGCGAAGTTGCCAATCCGCATGCTGCAGGTATGTGTTTCCTTTCACTCGTTACACTGTCTGCAGCATATCCTGAACTCTCTCAGTCCCCAGCGGTCGCTGTCCACAACCGTTGACTACACCGTCACTTCAA